TTGGCGCAATATAGCTCGGGGGTGTTGACGTGCCATTAAACCACATTTCATTCATTCATTATTACTGAGATACCGGAACGCTATTGGAAAATATCGAAAATGTCTCCTTCTTGTCCGCCATTTTAAATACTCAATTCTCGTGAAGTTGTTGTTTCTTATATATAGAAACAATATTGATGCTAAATTACATGGTATTCATTTTTGTAAATATTAACAGACACATGTTTCGTAAAATATATTGTTTTTGCAATTTCTAATTTTGTCCCGTTTTGACTAAACTATGATCAGTAAGATTAAAGTAAAATTTTGCCGTTTTGACATGTGTTCGTTATAATTTTAACACGAAGTCCTTGTGTTAAGATCTGATTTTGATCTGATTATAACAAATGGAAACAAAATATCTCCAATTAATGACAATAAATCTGAATCTGCGAGAAAATGAGGTTTAAAGCCCACTCGTCATTTCGGGGCTAACATGGTACCATTATTTTATGTTTGTTGATAAGAGAGAAAGAGGAGAGAGAAAATGGGGTTTAACGTCCACTCGACACAAACTAGGTCATTTCGGGACTAACACATGGTTCAATTTTATTTCAATAATTCGCTTGCGCGTAGGGGTCTTTAGCAGTGGGAAGAATCAGGAGGGCCCGGAGAAAACCCACGAGATTGGACAGGCTACCCTACTCCTTGTCACGTACAACCGGGGAATCAAAACCCCGCCAGTTGACTCAATGACAGACCGTATGATACCTCACAGCGCGCACGTATTAACCATTTGGCCACCCACCTCCCCACCCCACCCCTTTACTCAATAACACACATTGTGACCTAAAATGCGGGCGTTAGACAACTTAACAGTGTTTAATATATCGTGTGGTGGGAGTATGGAAGGGTATCGCTGCCAATATTAAATGCTCTGCTACAATGTCTTTTCTATTGATTATATGTAAAAAGTACAATGTACAAAGTCATAATACCGGTAATGATAAAGTCAAAATACCTCTAAGGCAAGCGTTAAATGTAAAACGTCGAATGTTAAGTGTTAAATGACAAATGTTTTTTTTGACGTGTCTACATTTTACATTTCTCTCATTACATTTTACATTTGCTCTCTGCCACATCCCATTTGTTCTTCACGCATTCTACATAGCATGTTTCGCACAGCATCAACTTGTATATGCAAGTGTAGGATCTCACGTGACTTATTAACATATACGGAAACCTGGCACACTATAAGCCAGAACAAGGATATCCACGACACTATAACAGGAAATCAGCCTAGCACACAGTAAAAGTTTACTCACCTTGACACTTTGGATGGCACTTTATGATGATTACGGGGGAGGGGGGGGGGGCTGTGCAATGTTCAAATACGAAATTTCAGGTATCATGTTACATATTAGTGAAAATCACATTCATTTCTCTTTGTAAATATGTAAATAGTTTTCTGGTACAATCGTATTTTCAAAATTTTAATCCAATAAATATCACACTATTAAAGGGGTATTCAAGTCAAAATACTGGTCTAAATACGAAATTCCAGATACCGTGTTAAGTATCACTAATTGCTCTTTTCAAATATGCAAATAATTTTCTGGCACATTCATATTTGCTTAACTCTACAAAATATTATTAAAGTTGGAGTGAAATAAAATAAACTAAAAAAAAAGATACAGGCCTTAATCAAAAATTCTCTATGTCCATACTAAAAGATGTATAGTCATTCCTCTCTTTAAATATATTATTTTTTTGTTGGGCACAATGCTTATATATTGTTGTTTTTTAATGGATCAAAGTAGGCTACTCAACTCTGTTTATAGAGAGACCGGAAAGAATGGGGGTGTTTAAAATATAAAAATGCGGGTATTAATACGAAATTCCAGTTATTGTGTTATAAATTACTGGAAAGTGTGTTTCTTTGGCTGCTTGAATCTATCAATTATTTCCTGGCACATTCAAAATTACGCACGGTTGTCTAGATAGTTTCTTATGGTGTGCCAGCTTGATTTCTTTTGTCGTACGGTGAATATCCTTTTAGTATGCTTGTGCCGGGTTTCCATATATGTTAATAAGTCACGTGATATCCTACATATGCATGTTGATGCTGTGCGAAAGTTGCTATGTAGAAAGCGTGAAGGACAAATGGGATGTGGCAGAGCGCAAATGTAAAATGTAATGATAGAAATGTAAAATGTAGACACGACAAAAAAAGCATTTTCCCACAAAACATTTGTCATTTAACACCTAACATTTGACGTTTTACATTTAATCCTTGCCTTATATGTATTTTGACTTTATCAATATCGGTATTAGGACTTTGTACATTGTACTTTTTACATATAATCAATGGAAACGACATTGTCGCAGAGTATTTAATATTGGCAGCGATACCCTTCCATATGGGAGAGCCCAACAATTTATTGATATATCCATTGATATACAGTCCATTGATAGATATCCTTCTACAGTTAAATATGTGTACCGTATCTAACACGTATTTCATATCGGGCAGGTCGATGCTGTTTTATATTTTACCGCTTTAGCTATAATAAATAGAATGACAACCTTTTGAAAAGTCCCAAACATCTTTTGATAATCCCCTGACCGTAAATCACCTCGTGTAACATAAATATCGAACTGAACAACTCCAAAGCTGTTTTAGGTGGTACGGATTTCAGCTAATCCAGTAGACGTGGTACAAGGGTTAATCAGCGAACTGGATGTATGAGATGTGTTGTTGACGTTTGGGAAAGTAGGACGAGGGGAAATGTGTAGGGAGTGAAGTGCTGTAAAGGGATAGTTCGATGTATTATGAATGGTTAGAGTGGCTGTGGTGTTACGGTGAAATACTATGCCGCCACCGTAACACCACAGCTTTATGATTTGTTAGACAGGAGTGATGTAATGGGTGTCAACAACTGGGTATGCTGGTAACGTAGCCGTGAAATATATATTGGGGGGGGGAAGGGCGGAAACGGAAAATTATACAATGTTGACAGTATGTGCCAGGCATGAGGCTGCGCAGACCGATAGGGAGTGTGTGGGAGGGTCACTATTTTGGCATTGTTTGCGGGGTTAAACCTAAAAATCACATTAATACACCTATTGCACGATATTGTGAAACTAGCTGACGAAGACAGCTCGGGCGGCGATTGTTCGACTCGGGGCTGCTCTGTCAGTATCTAACAAACGCATTTAGTTCGCGTACAACTTTTAAAAACCGAATGTCAGTATGGTATTTCTCACATAATTGGTTATCGCAAAAACAGAGTAAACTGAAAGCGAGTAATCTCGACTCAAACCTATAGTCTATAGCCTACTTACTACACTCGTCACTAGGCTTCCTATATTATTGTTTGTGGACGGTTTACTACTCAGTGATAAGCCTGCGCCGCAAAAAGAGGTCTCGCCTTTTATTATTAGTATAATGACTTTCTCATGTGCGGCAGGTTAGTTTGCTTCTAAAAACACTGTTTTCCGTTCCAAAAAAATACAAAAGTAATTTTCTACCAGATGACCATGGTTCTTTTCACCGAGACTAGATAATTTCTCTCGGTGTAAGGATATAGCTATGGATAAGTTCATACAAGGTCAATAAATCCGCGGTCACTTCGGGTCACACTGTTGAGAAAATAAACCGATGGGTTTGTTTAGTAGCAAATCGAGCGTGAATCAACTGAGTTTGTACTGAAAAATTTTTGAGTGATATGTATGAACTGTCTTCACACATTCGGTTTATAATTAGCGATACACAGGTACAGTGGCAAGTGTTGTACTTCACAGACTGTTTACCTCCGAACTACCTCCGCACGAAATCCCCGATTTGGGTACTTGTTAAAAGAAAAAGAAATAGTACCTGTGCGCATGCCAGTAAAAAAAAAACTAAGAGTTCGCGCATAAAAATGCCCGAACGTACCAGGCGCCAGGTCATCTAGCCTAGCTTTGGTCTAAATATTAGATAACTCTTGTCAGGGATACTCCACCCCTACAAATGTCTGGCAATTACATAGCTCTGTCAGGGGTACCCCACCACTAGAAATGTCTGTCAGAGTGTTTTTGTAATACCTGAAGATGTACGGTACCGCAGTAAGATTTTCGTGTGGTACACGTTTGAGCTAATCTAGCCTAGTTGGGGTTCATGGCATTTAGGGCGTGGAATACCACACCCACCACCAGAAACCCGGCAGACTTACATTCTGATGATACCAGATATACATACATTGATACCATATAGGGGAAAATTGGTACACTTTTCAGCTAGGTTGACCCCCTGGGCTCCCGGTCTAGTAAGGCACTCGGGGAAACGGGGGAGGGCTTTGTTTTGATAAATTACACATTATTAACCTTGGTGCTTTAAAGCAATGTATAACATAAAATGTAATACAGATGTATTACGCGTGTGCTGGTGGCTTCTGAACAGGGTTAAACTAATTAACACAATCACATAATGGGATGTGAGCTGGTTACTGAACATTTCACATAATCAGATTTGATGTGAGCTGGTTACTGAACATTTCACATAATCAGATTTGATGTAAACTAAAGTAAATATAATGCATGCGTCAGTAAAGTATAATACAGAAAGCAATTCACATAATAAAGTGATGTGAATTTAAAGATACATTGTGCAAGATTTAGATAAAGAGCTAACCATTCTTACTTTAACTAGTTCAAAAATAGATAATGTAAAATTAATTATTTGAAAATTTCATTCAAATTACTCTATTGAGAACAAATATATTAGCCCTTGAAGGTTTGCCAAGACGTGTGCATTAATTGCAACCACCGTGCTGGTTGCTCGAAGCTACATTTTAAAATGAAATCAAAATATGGCTAAACCGTTCCAATCTATGGGAGATATCCAATGGCATCGAGAGTAGATTATAACATTTCAGGCCTTAGGAAAGACCTGTAATAGGCAGATTTAGTTCTTGCATAATGCATGTTTAATATGCATAACTATGAATACACTTTAAAACACGCATGCCTTTAATATTAAACGAACTATATACCAGTCATTTTTTTTAAATGCTTGAAAATATAGATTATGTGTTTATTAAACCAATAATGATCCTTGAACATTATTTTCTAATTTCAAGATAATGTATAAGAAGTATTGACAAAATATTATTTACGCAACAGATTCATTTTAACCGAAATGAATAACTTAGCATACATGCCAACTATTCCGATTTTGTCGGAATCATTCCGATTTTCTGAGTCTAATTCTGAATTCCGATTTTACTCTTTATAATTCCGTTTTTTAAAATTTATTGGAAGAAATTTATTATATTTCATGCCTGACCTTTTTGATTGATAAAATCCCTCTCGTTTTATTTTTACATTGACGACTGTCTCGGCATTCTCGCTGTTTGTTGTGAATCTGATGGCGATACTGTTTGTCGTAGTATGAGTCGGTAAAACAACGAAAATAGTCGAGAACATGTGTCATGTTTTCCTTATTATCATTAATATAAAATGGAATAAGCTATTATGTCTGGATTAATCAAGATCAAAATGTCATGTGGTTATTTCCGTCATTTGCCGTGTCTAATTTGCATAATTCGCGGTAAAACGACGGAAATAGCCGAAAACATGTCTCCAGTTTTCTCGATTATTATTAATATAAAATGGAATAAGCTAATATGTCTGGACTAATCGAGATCAAAATGTCGTCATAGGCCGCGCCTAATTTGCATACTTCGCGGATATTATTTGCTACGCGGAGCCATTCTCGCATACACACTCTCGGACATTACACGGCGGGTTTACCGTTAGTTGTCAGTTACGTTGTTCCTTCTTCCTTAGCCATATTTCCTTCTGACTTGATAAAAAATGTTTTCAATGTGTGAAAAAAAAAAACAAATTACAATTATAAATAAAACCCAGTATAAATAATTTACGACTTCTACTTTCGTGTCGGTCAAGACAAACAAAATGGCTTCCAAAACAAATGTCAGACAAAAATACCGGGAAACTTACGGCAAAGAATTTCCAGAAACCATTGCGTCCTCGCGTAGAGGCGACGAATTCGCATTTTGTTTAGTCTTTCGTATATAAATAGGTAAAAAAAACTCAGATGCATGGACCTAAATCACCAGCTGTTTTTATCCAATAATACAAGGTACTGCTTTAAAAAGGTGCTAATTTCTCAAAATTTTCTTGGGGCCCTTAAACGGGCCAGAAACCCCACGCCCTTCAAGCCTCTGGCGCCTGCGGTGCCTCCAGCACTCACGGTGCTTTGCACCGATCGAACTGGGACCTGCGGTCCTTGCTCTACCCTCAATACAAGGCATTCTGATTTTCAATCTCCTCAGGTTGGCATGTATGACTTAGGGTTTACAGATATATAGCAGAACATTTGTTAATACCTTTGTCGTTAATGAATCGTTAAATACGTAAACAACGAATTTAAGTAATCATGACACTGATATTAATGCCATCCTTAGGAGTTTTACCTACGCCACTGCAACCCGTAACGCGCAAGTGAGTCAATGGCGGAAAATTAAACCATATGTTACTCCCGGAATGACCTAGATTGTGTTTGTGTCGAGTGAACGTTAAACCCCATTTCGCTCTCCGTCGTCTGCCTGTGCAATTACAACCCGACCGTGATTATGTTGGAGGAACACGTGATATGGTGATCAGTCAAGTGAAATACATACTAAAAATAGGAAGCCATGTTTTTAAATGTTGATTATTCTAATTGTAAGCATAACATGCGGGTGTATAAATCCATGAATCACATGAACAGTTGGTAAGTTATTATTGTTTAATTAATTAGACCAATAGATGAGATTCCATGTTGATCGTTACCAGCAATGTGCATGCACATGTATGACTTGTATCCAATAGAGGATTCAGCATCTTTTCCGAATACCAGCACGCACGCCCCACTATCTCCCGGCTGTACATGTGCATCATGTTTCAATAATATCACATCCTTCAGGGGTGGACAACCAGTAGGTGCATTTATTTGTTCACATGGAATTAGACAATCCTGGATCTCCGGATCAATTGTCGGTTCTCCAACAGTTATTTTCTTTTCGTTGCAAAAAGAAATCACAACCACCTGTTGGTCATCACTTGTTTTCCATGGCAGATCTTTGTGGAAATGGTTTTTAGCTTCAGGCGGTACCAAGTTCTGATCAAAATAAACATGACTACAATTATCAGAACATTTTGTAATTTGGGTACATCGCTTTACAGCATAATTTTTGAAGATAATGGAACATTCTGATCTAGGTTCAATTGTTTTTGAAGAATGAATGATATAATTTGGACTATAGTATTCTAACAGACCTTTAATATATCTCCCCTTTCCCTTTATTCTGATATCAGCCACTAGCCACTCGGAATCTTTTATATCCATATCCTTGATGAATTTGGGTACTTCATCTATAGCAAAAATGGCTTTTTCGTGAGAATTGCAATTCCCAACCATTTTTGTTTCTTTTTTATGAGTTGTATGTCGACTGCCATTTCGGTCTTCATACATAACTTCAACATTGTTGCAAACTCGAGCTCTATGTTCACATCCGTGACATTGTGTACCCTCTGGAACAAGACCTTGGGCATGCTTCCTGCAAGTTTTAATTACTACATGTTTAGACGTCTGAACGTAGAATTCGCCATTAGCTTTAAAAACGATACCACTACCAGTTCTTGACGGACCTTTAACTTGAACCACCCTGTCTGCCATATTCCAAATGATAGTTTCAACTGCTGCTACTCGGAAAGCATCTTTTAAGTCTTCTCTTCCGAACATATTGCTGTATCTACAAAGATATATGATGTGGTATTTGCATTACTGGGAATTGTTATTATTGCGACAATACTGACTTTAATGAATGTTATATGACCATAAGAGATTACAATATGAATTACCAAAATTTAAAAAAAAAAGGATAAAGTATTAAATATGCATAGCCTGCACGACAAATGATAGTGTAAATTTTACAGATGACCAGTATTGTATTTTCTTTACATTTGAAACAAGTTTATATTCATGCCTACAGCTAAACATTTGTATTTGGAATTTCAATTAAAGAAGTTAGTTTTGTAGCTATCCATAAGGGTTATCATTGAGTCAAATGTTTGTCGTTTTAAGCCCACCTGAGCGATTAACTGAAAGAAATATATAAATGTTAGTACCCAAATGACGCAGTTTGTATTCAATAGTATGTCCTAATGATATTGTTTGGACTTATGTTTGTATGTTAGTTACGGATTTAATATATTAACTTAACATTTTATAAAAAAAAATATCTCACCTTAATAATCATCAATCTGTTGGTCTAGATTGGTGAAACAGGATATATATTTCTTGATATAATATACAAACTACAAGATATGTTACGCTAAACCGGCTGGAAATAAGGGTTATTAGTGGCCCCGACAAACCCGTCAATGTTTTTGTAAAGCAGGGTTGTAACGGGTGACAGAATATTGTAACACTACCGATTAAAAACGCCACGTCAAGGCAGTATTTGTATCGCTTATACAACCCTTCAGCATATTGACATTCATACTGTGAATCTTTTATTTGAGAAGCTATACAATCCTTAATGCCTTTTTAATAATATATGTTATAAATTTCTCAATTGCCTAAATGTTACAATAGGGTTCCCTGGGCAGAGCGTTATACAATACTAAAAAGGGATTGGTGTTTTTGTATAATGAACAGATTTATTTAATCGTTGATATCGACTATGTGTAATACATGTTCTTCGTTATCGAAAGCCGAAGTAAAAGTTTTAAAACTGTCAATTCTGAGGAATAATATACAGAATATAACATCAAGATCTGGGATCTGATAAAGGCAAGTAGCTCCAATTCTCATTTACAGCTACATACACTTCATATTTTAGAGTAGAGATGAATGGTTATTATTGCGAAGCACACTAAAATGACTGATCGGCACTATTGAACATTTGATCATAAATCTTGATTATGTAAGCTAGTTTGCCAATGCGTATACAATTTGCACAAATATCCAGTGGTTATCTAGTATAATGCTTTAAAAAAAAACCCCATAAAACAAATATAAATTGCAGTTAGTCGGGCTTCGTAATGCAATGAATGAATGAAATGGGGTTTAACGTCCTACTGTTCTGCTCCGAACTCGGCTAATGAAGACGGACTCGGCCTATGCAGGGATCGAACACCCGACCTCCAGGCTAGCGAGCCAGCGTCTTAACCACCTAGCCACCGTGGCTCCCACACACAATGGACTTAACAATATAGGAAAACCAACTATGTACATGAATATCGATAATGATGTTATAAAGATGTCCAATTTCGCGTTAAGTGACCCCCAAAATATACAAAACGATATATTACACGACCTAGTAGGGCGAAATATGATTTTTTTTTTGTATTTACGCCGCCATTTTGAATATCTTTGTCGGAATAGGTCAGGTGTTAAAAATATGCCAGATTTCGTGTTCAGCCACGAACGGCGTGTTTAAAAGGGGCACAGACGAACCAGTATGATTAGTCATTATGTTATTGTGTGATAGCGACATATTTCTTTGCTCAAACGAAATTTATCTCTTCTAAATTATGTAATCATGAATGTACCGGCAACAAAAAAGCACGTTCGGATATTACCAATGACATTTTTGACACATTCGGGATTTAGAACTCGAATATAAATTTTGGTTCAAAGTAAAAAAAAAAAATATATATATATATATTGCTGCAAATAGGATTTAAATGTGGTTTCATGATGCACCTTTCCATCTAAATAAATAAAATACGGCCGGTAGGGCCGTAACTAGCTCAGAGCAGAGAGGGGGGGAATCAGGGGTGCTGTAAAATTGACGGACAGCGTTTATCTATTTTTTTATGGTCGAAATATTTTTCGACCTAGGATGGTGACAAATAATTGTTTGTATTTTCCCCGCAATTTTTAGTCGCCATCTTGAATATTTAATTGTTCCCAAATCAGCGTTCAAATAAACTAATTATGGTCTAACAATAAATTATAATTGTCCTATTTGTTAATCCCAAAATGGTCTGGTTCGTGTCGAGTAATTCCAGTTTCCGCAAAAAAAAGAGCTATAGGCTATAAATTCAATAAATTCAGTTTATAGACAGGGTTGGCTATCCTGTCAGTACCAAGGTATCATGAGCAGTAGAAACTTAAAACTCATTATGTAACAAATGCATGAGCGGTCCTACTACTGACTAATATTTTGTCCGTCCAAATCAACTATTTTCCAAATAACAGTTCATTCATAACTAACACACACTACTAACTATTTTTCTTCTCCAAATTAAATTCTAGACCATTTTTCTTTAAATAAAGCTGCAACTTACGTTCGATTATCCGCATGTCTGTAGAACCATAGCACATCTGAAAGTCATCAACATAAAGAGCACCGTTTTTACCTGCTTTAAGGCACGTTGGGATAATATTAATTTTTATTGCAAACAAAGTAGTAGATAAAATACTTCCCTGAGGAACCCCCATTTCCCATTGCCATTTTATTTTTAAATATGTTAGAAACGTCCTCTGAATTAGGATGTTTCTGCTTTTGTTGTTCATTGACAGGGGTGGGGGGATTGAGGTATCCATGAACGTAATTTTGTTTTAAATTCATCCCTCGTCGTCCCCCAGGTTACTGTCCTGCCTACTAGGGGGAGGTCTAGCACGGGTAACCAGCGCATGGCCTCAGGGCTCGACGAGGGGTATACTCAAGCCAGAAAGTAAAAATACTACAAATGGTAGTAATTGCTGAGTGAATAAACAACAGAGCATTAAATTGGAAAAGGGTACATTCTACAAAGCTAAAACGACCAAAGCCGATTGATCACTGTGGGCCACTCTGAATTCCCGTCTAGGTGACGCAAGCCAAATCCCCACTCAATTACCAGGATTCCACTCTCCACCGACAGGGGTCGCAACGCACGGAAAACACGTTGCCCCATTACAGGGATCCTTTTAGTCCCCTTTTACGACACGCAGGACATACGTATGGTATATTCTTATCACCCCCTGCACCCCAGGGGGGGGGGGTTGTTTTTTTTAAATCAGACGTATTGTCAATAGTTGTTTTCTTTTCAGACCAGAAAGATGTTTCCTTGTCGCAAAATCCGGCGCTTTAAGATGATTACATGATGTTTTAGGACGAAGAAGTACTAATTACAAAAATGGTAAATATTATGCTTATTTCTCAAAATTATCAGAGATTAAAAAGAAAAAATATTCACTGCAACAAAACAGTTGCAAAATGCTGTTTCGTCAAAGCCCCATCAATAGCAGTGTGAACAACCAAGTTTTTTACCTTGGAATAATCCAAAGTCAATGTTACCAAAATCGGAAATGAACTGGAAATTTGTCTTTAGTTCGAAGGTCAAAATTAAGTCGGAAAGACAAATTTTGACAAACCCCGGCAGTTGTCGATCTGAAAGCGTGTTAATGTTTGGTAAATCCACTATAATACATAAAAAAGTTAGTATTAATTTAGCACGTCGAAACTTACTTCGTTCCTTATTTTTTTTTTTTTTTAAATTTCAGTATTCTATTTGTACACGAGATAAATTTGATGAAATGGGGTTAACCTTTCTGTGCCGACTGGGCTATTTAAAACGAGAAAACGCCGAACAATGTGATATGTAGCCCGGACATTGGGACTACTGCCTACTCTTATTATAATTACAACTGTCATGGTTTATGTTACGTCCCAGCCAATGTTTAAGCGGGACTTCGGTTTTATGCCCATCCGCACCACTAGACACTGTCACACTGGCCTTGCCAGGCCCTTAAACCTGTATGAATTACAAGGGAAAACAACGTTGGAAAATCCCCAGAAAATTTTTTGGTCAACTCTCGGCTAGCAAGCGAGTGTCAAACACACATCCGCCAATTTGATTGGTTTAATTAATATTATTTTCAAATTGAATTCGTTGGTCCATTATATTAAACTACAATTCTAGCACCGCGATCACTATCTTACAGTGCAAAAATTAAAGCACATCTAAGTCTAATTAATTTCTATATTCTTCTCCGGCTAAACTATTTACAGAAAAAATCTGGAAGAAATCGAAATTTACCAACACATTTCGAAAAAAGTCAGCAAAAAATTCGAAAATTATCGGAAAACATCCGAAAAAACAGAAAACAATACCACGCATAAAAATTGTGGGGATCTCAAGTCAAAGAGACGCATTAAAATGATGGACACTCTGGAGTTAGGCTTTTATTCATTCAGATATCAATCCCTAGTGCAATGAAATCTATCTTAACCCTATTGTACTACCACCCCCTATTGTAATAATTGTGATTAATGTATTTTACCATACAATAGAATCTATGGATTTTGATCATCATTTCCGTATGGGTGTGGATATAAGAGTACTAGAATTAAAATTATCTTTTACATTATCTTTTTTTTTTTGGGGGGGGGGGGGGCTTTTCTAGCAAGAATGACCAGCTCTTTATCTAAATCTTACATAATGTATCTTTAAATACTTCACTGCACTTAGACATAATTCATTACAATAGTGGTTGATATTACAATACGAGTTATTAAATATCATTGATTACAATCGAGGTTAACATTACATTTTAATAATTTTTCTAAACTCGTTAACGGCCTTTTATCATGTTCCGGCGGTGTTGAAACATAATATTCTATGCGGTATAAACTCATACCAGTCTTTTTATATTCATACGGAAACGGTGATCAAATCCCCTAGACTTTTAAAATTATTACAATAGGCGTTAAGAGAATTAAATAACAATAGGGATAATACCGTGTAACTCTTATTGTAATAAATATTTCTAAGTGTAATGAAGGATTTAATAGATGTAATCATTCAACTTTTAAGATTTTGTGTCGATTTTTATACGCACACATTTTCGACTGACGATGATGTGACAGTTTTGAAATATGATTAACTATATACGCATACTGACCGCTCATTTCCTTTTTGTGTGTCTGTGTGCCGCCTACAAGCCACAATTCTTAATTTAATCGTCTTGAATAAATTCCGTATGAATTCCTTATACCCTATGGATGATCCCTATTTTTTTGGGTGCATGCCAGATCCCCATGGGCAGAGCAACGCCCATTTCTTGTATTTAATGTATCATCTTGAAGCTTTGCATACTTATTCTTTGTACCCTAAGGAAATTCCTATCGTTTGGGGTGCAACCCCCAGGGGCAGAGCCATACCCATTTCTTGTATTTTTTTATTTGTCGTCTACAGTCTGCATTTCTTAACGTATAATATTGAAACTTTGAATACTTATTCTTTGTACCCTAAGGAACATCCCTGTCGTTTGGGGTACCATGTCCTACCCCCAGGGGCAGAGCCATGCCCATTTTCTTTTTGTGTGTCTGTGTGTCGCCTTCAGGCCACAATTCTTAAGTGATCATCTTGAAACTTTATACACTTATTCCTTATACCCTATGGATGATCCCTATTGTTTTTGGTGCATGCCCGACCCCCTGGGACAGAGTCGCGCCCATTTCTTGTATTTGTTTGTCATCTACAGGCCGCAATTCTTAACAGATCATTTTGAAACTTTGCATACCTTTTTATCATATTACAACTATTTCATTTTTCATTCTCTTCATTTTAAAAAGTACCATATCAATCAATGCTGGAATGTGGACGTATATTGCAGCGTTAGCGATGCTCTTGTTATTATTATCGGTTATTTGTTATATAAATATATTTTATGTGATGGTGTTTAAATGGCCTCGTTATATTCCCCATGTTTACTCAGTTGGAGCTGACGTGTCATGAAGCGCAATTTTATTTTATATTTTAGGAGAAAGGCGGTACCAGCAATAGCCCAAGTTATCAAACCAGGGGTGAAACATTTCAGGTAAACCTTATAGATCACGAACTCTCCGAAGACACGGATGCAGAGTCTGAAATACATGTCATTGACGATGTCGCACATTTTAAAGATACTGAAAAACAAGGATTGGCTTTCAAGGATGGACTAGAGGGTTATGTTCTGTCCATACGGACAGACATAAGTGACACAGACAGTGTTTATTTTAAGTTAAGTCAAGATGATGGAAGTGCAGAATTAGTTAGTGATTATAAAATTGTTTTGAATTATGGTAACGGCAATATGATTATTTACCATATACCAAACATGATAATAGACAATCTGCAACCTGGTCCAACAGTTGTCCATATAGACACAGGTAAAACATACAAATGTCGCGCTGGAGTGGTTCGAAGCCATGACGAAGAAGATGTAATAGTTCACACCAACATCCAAAAGTTACCTGATGTCACCGTGTGTAAGATAATATTTGGTGATAGTTTAGAGGTACCTTGCTCTGAGATAAGAAAATATCAAGACATGGAATATAGCAGTTTATTTGTGAAGACTGTTGACATACCAAATTCTGTCAACCTATTGACACTTGAGCAGTGGATGAAACAGCTTAACATACCACAGGTAATAAGAATTACTTTATATTACTGCTTATCATTATCCCTGGACATTAGGCAGATTACTTAAAAACATATTTGGAGGTTCATAAAATATTCGGATTGAGATATGAAGGTGCTGATACTTTGCTGCTGTTTTTGCCTAATAATACTGATTATTGTCTCGTTTTTATCATTGACACTTGAGCAGTGGATGAAACAGCTTAACATACCACAGGTAATAAGAATTACTTTATATTACTGCTTATCATTATCCCTGGACATTAGGCAGATTACTTAAAAACATATTTGGAGGTTCATAAAATATTCGGATTGAGATATGAAGGTGCTGATACTTTGCTGCTGTTTTTGCCTAATAATACTGATTATTGTCTCGTTTTTATCATATATCTATATTTTTTCTCATTTTTTTTTTAAACAGTTATTAAATATTACTCCCTTTTTATTGCAGTTTGACAAAATTTATAGGCGGTGGGGCTTTCGGCATCTTTGTACTGCTAAAGGGTGTCGTATTAGTTCCCTTAGAACGCCTGTAAAATGTAAAGTAACGTTTTAGAGAGAAAAGAAGACTTTGATTACATCGCTAGAGTCAGGATGTGCGCCACAATACGCTGTTAAAAATACGTCCCCTCCTGCTAAGTTGCTTGAGCGCCGCCATTGCACTCTAAATATAGTTCAACGCACAAATTTAAGAACGTCAGCGATACGTAGAGGAAACGAAATAAAATTTGAATCTAAGAATTTTCAGTCATTTATTGCTTTGCCTACCCCGGATAGATTTTAATGTTTTCAGAGATCCCTTTTGTTACCTAAATTTGATTAATCTTCGCTAATTGTTGGTGCATCTCACAGCCATTTCAATTTGACTGGTTACTGACACGTTATCCCTTTATTTTATTTTTTGAAGCTTTGCGATAATCAAGACAACCACAGTTATCAATATTCTGATAAATTTTCCGGTGAAAAATTTTGGATTAACCTTATAAATAATGGGAACAACGATGACATAGATTTGTTTAGTAACAATATGTTAATAGATATCAAGATGAATGCCAGGAATTTTGAAATCAACGACAGAGAATGTTTGGCTTTCAAAAGTGGATCTCATGCCTATGTTTCTGCAAAGGCGAAAATATATGCCATAGACAACATGTGCTTTAAGTTATGTAACGATGACGGAAGTGACGAATTGATTACTGATCACAAAATTGTTTTGATTTGTGATTCGCTAAATATGGTTATTTACCATATCCCAAACATGATCATAGACAATCTAGAAACTGGTCCAACAATTGTTCACATTGACGCAGGTCAAGTATATAAATACCGCGCTGGGGTTGTTCAAGGCCAAGACGATGAACATATAATAGTCCACACCTGCATCCAAGATTTACCTGATGCGAGCAAGTGTACAATCATATTTGACGATAACTCAATAGTGCCATGTTGTGGAGTAACAAAACATCAACAATGTAGCAGTTTGCTGATGAAGATGGTTGAGATACCAGCCTTAATCAATCTATTGACGGTTGACCAGTGGATGAACCAGTTTAACATAACACAGGTAAGGTGTAGTAATTAGTAGTATTAGTTGTGTAACTAGAATATTAAATTGTACTGACGTTTAAACTGGTTTGTTATTTTAAAAACACTTGCTTAGGACTCAGTTGTGGTGTATTATTTTGTCATATGGATATTACGGTGAATGATACACCTGCTTTAGTTTTCCACTACTGATCATAAAATAAATAAATTTATTTATGAGCGTTGGCAACGGTCTTATGATCTTGCAGCTGCAAATAAAATTCACCACATTAAGACTCTCCTTAAAGGATTGATTTTAATTTTATTTACTGTGCTATTTTTATTTATGCGTGCTGTTTTTTCGGTTTAAATTTGTCTCGAATAAATCATATTATGTTTGGTGCAATATTTCCCGATTGGCGCTGACGTGCCGTAAAATGCGATTTCATTCATTCATTGCTTCATGCTAAGTGGGTAAGACGCTAGCTCGCTAGCCTGGAGGTCGGGTGTTCGATCCCTGCATTGGCCGAGAAAGTTCATCCAGATTTTCCGGCGTGGTTCTCCCTTGTCAGTGATGCAAGACGGAGGGGCTGACAAGGAAAGCTGTCTAGTCGTTCGGATGGGACGAAAAACCGAGGTCCCGTGTACACATTGGCGTGCACGTTAAAGACCCCTTGGCAGTTGGAATTCGATATAAGAGTAGGCCGTAGTGCCGCTGTCCGGGCAAAATTTCCCTCATAGCACACTGTATGGCGTATGCCCGTCTTCATTAGCCCAGGTTAGGAGCAGAACAGTAGGACGTTAAACCCCATTTCATTTCATTTCATTTTCATTGCTTCATTGTATTGTCGTTGTAGGAGGAAGATGGTAACAAAGATAATCCAAGTTATCAACGGATATATCAAACCACGGGTAAAACATTTCAGGTAAACCTCATAGAAAACAAACTCTCTGAAGGCACTGATGCAATGGCTGAACAGGATGTGGTAATATGTGTCGTTGACGATGCCGCAAATTTTAACGATACTGAAAAACAAGGCTTGGCTTTCAAACATGGACTGGAGGGTTATGTTCTCTCCATACGGTCAGACATAAGTGACACCGACAGTGTTTATTTTAAGCTAAGTCAAGATGATGGAAGTTGTGAATTAGTTAGTGATTATAAAATTGTTTTGAATTATGGTAGCGGCAATATGATTATTTACCATATACCAAACATGATAATAGATGAACTGCAACCTGGTCCAACAGTTGTTCACATAGATACGGGTGCAACATATAAATGTCGCGCTGGATTGGTTCGAAGCCACGACGAGGAAAATGTAATAGTTCACACCAACATCCAAAAGTTACCTGATGCCACCATGTGTAAGATCATATTTGGTGATAGTTTAGAGGTACCTTGCTCCGAGCAAAGAAAATATCGAGACATGAAATATAGCAGTTTAATTGTGAAGAGTGCTGAAATACCAAATTCTTTCAACCTTCTGACTCTTGAGCAGTGGATGAAACAGCTTAACATACCACAGGTAATAATGATTACTTTATATTACTGCTTATTATTATCCCTGGACATTAGGCAGATTACTGAGGTTCATAAAATATTCGGATTGAGATATGAAGGTACTGATACTTTGCAGCTGTTTTTGCCTAATAATACTGATTATTGTCTCCATTTTATCAGATATCTATATTTTGTCTCAAACTATAATGATTTAAAAAATAAAAAATACTACTCCCTTTTTATTGCAATGTTACAGAATGTATAGGGGGCGGGGGCAAAGGTTAATGGGAATGGATAGTTAAGCTCTGGGCCCTGTTTCACAAAAACTTAAATCACCTTAAAATCGTCTTAAACTATAATTCCATCCTAACTTAAGATAGATGCGTTTCACAAAACGATTTTAAGCATTTTAGATAAAATCCACTAAAATAATAAGTTAAAATTGTATCTTAACTTGAAATAGTGGCGTTTCACAAAACTATTTTAGGGACAATTTTAACTAAAATCAATTTTAACTTAGGACAGCCATCACCCTCTCCTAACTTAAAATCACGACATTAACAAACATTGATTAGAGCTACGTTGTGGGATCTATTGCGACATATAGATATATTTGGAATAATGATAATATTGCCAATGACAGCGGTATTTGCTGTCAACAAATAGAGCCATACAAATAATGTTCGGACCATCATGTGACCAATTGCAGATCTACAAATTAGATTATTTATTTGGGACATGATATTGTTCATAGTTATGGCTTACTACACTGGAGTTCTATTGTGTATAATAAACGCTTCCCAAGCGAAACAAAACATAACAATGTCACGTGACAATATTACAAATGGCGGATACAAGCGTTCTTTGATTACATGCAGTTTGGTTTGATTATTAAATAATACGGTAATCTGTATTTATGGGAAAAGGAGAATGAATTTCCCCAAATCCAAAACTAGATGACTGGAATATTTATTGGATGGAAAGTGAATATTTTATAAACAAAAATATTCGGATTTGCAGTTTTCTAGCTTAGGTGGATTTGTGATTTGAATCTCGAACTCAAATGTTTTATACATTTTATTAAAATTGTAATAAATGTTTTACATGAATGAATGAAATCTACAATTTAAAAAAATACAATAACATTGTGATTTGACGCTCTACAAATCACTAAAAGTATAACAATTGCTTGCTGAAAAAGCGTTACTAATATGTTGTTTTTTCCAATGCAGCAAAACCTACTGGACTGTTGTACTTAACTTATTATTTTTTAAAAATATATTCAAAAAGAATGCTTCTTTTACAGATTTCAATATAACCACAAATGGTTGATTGTTTTAATGCTTAGATAAGTATTAATGGTTTGTATTTGAAAAACAAATTATATAAGCGAAAAATAGTAAGATACATTATGTACATCTTAAAACACGCCCTTCTCAGTTACTACTTCGGCGAATATCATTTGATAATTTAGATGATCAGAATTAAACACCGTTTTGCTATGTTATTATTTTTGTATGATTGGTGGGGGTATACTAAATTAGGGGATTGGATTGAAAGATTATAGCTACCATTATATGGAGACATAATGTGTGGTGCATTTACGGTCTTATAAAGCTCTATTCTTGCATAAAGAATTCTTGATTCGCACGGAATTGTTTTAGCCGTGATCATTTTAAATCATGCTTATGCCAAGATTTGGGTAAGTGTTAATTTAACTAGATATCAGAAAAGTACCATGTTTTCATAAATTTTCTGACGACTAACGTACTGTTTAGATAAATTGTACAATATTTATCAGTTCACTAGTTACAATAAAATCATGCATTATAGCTATTTTTATTTATTTATCCCTGGTGCTTCATATTCAATTTAGGGTGCATCAACATATTTAAAAATATGTTTTTAAGCTTTAGGTCATTTTATTATACCTTTCTACCATAAATAATAGCCCGAATTTAGGTATACCAAAAGTTAAAGAAATATCTTTCTACCATAAATAATAGCCCACCAGAAAACTTAGTGTCAGTACATTATTAAATTTTATATTCCATTAATCAATTCCATTCCGCCATTGGTTTGTCTTAAACTCGTCATTTGTATTCATGGGCATCAGGGTCGAGATGGCAACGTTATATGTTTTATTCCTCTAATTTACTATAAAACACCATTCGGTTCGCCTCACGGGTTAACGGCATATTAATAGCTTTATTCACTGAGATGGTTCCTTTACTTGTGGTTTATTTTTCGAATTGCTTTTTGTATTTATTTACAGAGGTTAAAAGTTTAAATGGAAATATTTAAGCACCTTCGTGTTAAACCGTTGAAAGATTTAAAGTTTGGATTAAGGTTAAGTGAGTGTAGGTCAAAGATGCGACTGGCAGAGTGTGTATTAGGGTGTTAAAAATTAAAAGTTATTCCCTACAAGGTGGTTCTACGGTTCTTACCATACAATTCAGCTGTGAAATAACACAATTTCTTTCATTATGTGTACAACAATAAAACTATTTCAATTTCAAGTTGTCTAAACCGGGGTGTTGTGGGGTATGCATCTAAGTGTTTTGACGACCTGAAAAATATACTTAATTTTATTTAAACATATTAGAATCTTAGGATGATTTAAACAAAGGCACAAGACCGGTTCCAGATTCAATAATACATATAGCAAGTATAACAACCCTTTAAACCTTGATACGTTCACTATTTCGGGCATTAAACTAATGGCTGATATTGTTTGTAGATAATACTAAGCCTAGGTTAACATCTTCAACACATATCAATTTAATTCAAGCCTACTGTCCTAAACGCAGATATAGCACAATTATTAGATAATACGAATTAATTAAGTTAAGCATTCCCCAATCATGGGTGAGAGAAAATCAAACCAACTTGAATATAACAACAATGTCTTCCACCAACACGAGCCACGTGTTAGATGATGAATGAATTTGTGAAACCGAATCAATTAAAATCTAAGTGTTGTTATGAAAAATGTCTCGGCTCTAAATTTGTAAAACTTATTTTTTTAAATTATTGGTAAAATAATGGTTTCTTGTGTAATTTTCCTATCATATGGAAAACCATTTTTTGTAATTTTAAAAACCCTAAATGTATTGACTTAGATTGTAAAATTTTACATAATATATTATGGTCAACGGAAAAGCTATTTAAGATAGGTAAAGTAAGTGACGAATATTGCCCGGTTTGTAAACCAATGCACGAGGATATTCAACATTTACTAGATGTCATTATTAAACAGTTTTTTAAACTTCTAATTAAGACTATAATGAAAATAAATATAAGTAGTAATGAATTAGGCACTGTAATTTTATTTGGTCTCCAGCGGTCAAGTAAAACTCCACCAATAGAGTTATGTAATATTATTATGTGTACAATACGATTAGCTATATATAATAGATAATATATCCTGCGTACACATCTACGAAAAGAATGAGAGTGCTTAAGATTTTATTTTAAAATTTATTTAGCCTCCCGGGTTAAATGATGAGATAAGCATGGATTTTTTAACTTTAAATAAAAGAAACAAAAAGTCTAATTTACTATAAAACACCATTCGGTTCGCGTCACGGGTTCACGGCATATTAGTAGCTTTTTTCACTGCGATGGTTCCTTTACTTATGGTATATTTTTCGAATTGCTTTTTGTATTAATTTACAACGGTTAAAAGTTTTAATTGGAAATATTCTAAATATTTTTCTTTATAACTGATTTGCTCAGTCATAACATGTCTTAGAGGCCTACACAACAATGCAATTTGTGGTTGTAATCATTTATTTAGCACCTTCTTGTTAAACCGTTGAAAGACTTAAAGTGTGGATTAAGGTTAATTGAGTGTAGGTCAAATATGCCCCTGGCGAAGTGTGTATTAGGGTGTTAAAGGAGCTAAGTCTCTCACTCGATATTTTCCATAATAATCGAAATTAAAAACACAAATTAGAATTCAATATTGGTCCATTTCAATTCAACATGATGTTGTTATATACATGTAGTCGTGAAAATGTGGGATCCTAATGCGATGCTAACAATTATCGTGGTATAACCCTGAATAGTCATTTAGGTAAAATGTTCACGTCTATTTTTAATAAGAGAGTGCAGAACTTTAACTCTGAACATATACTATTCAAATAAAGTAGGGGATATTTGATTTTTAAGTGTTATTAAAGTCACCTAATGAAACTGACGAAGAAACAAATGACAAAATGAAATGAAGTTCACATTCATCGATTTATTCCAAATGATCGTTAGACTAAGTAAGGCACAGACTGACCATTATAAGGGTAAAATGATACCCGGGGTCAAACAGCAAAGTTACCACAGCATCACAACCAAGTCAGTAACGGGTAAATCCTCCTCTGTTTGCCAAACAAGCATTGATCCGACGTGGCACACTCCTAATGAGACGTCTAAGGTCATTTTGGTCCAGATTGTCCCATTCCTGTTGCAACGCAGCAGCAAGTTCTTGGACATTGGCAGGACGTTGTTGACGTTGACGTAACCTCTGTCCAAGCATGTCCCAGACATGCTCGATGGGGGAGAGGTCGGGACTCAGTGCTGGCCAAGGTAATGTGGTGATGTTCTGTTGTTGGAGGTAACCTGTAACGATCCTGGCCCTGTGACATCTTGCGTTGTCATCCTGGAAGATGAAACGGCGGCCATGACGTCGTGCGAACGGCACAACATGGACTGCCAAGATGTTGTCCCGGTAGTACTGGCCTGTAACACGCCCTGCAACAACATGTAAAGCCGTTCTTCCAGCAACTGTGATGCCTCCTCCACCATAACAGAACCACCCCCAAATCGATCATGTCTGATGACGTTAACGTCTTGGAAGCGCTCGTTTCGACGACGCCACACCCTCCTACGTCTGTCCAAAAAATCAACAGTGAACCTTGACTCATCTGAAAACATCACATTGCTCCAGCGTCGATTATCCCAGTGTTGACGATCCCTACACCAACGACGTCTTGCCTGAATGTGATGATCTCTCAAACAAGGGATCACACGAGGACGTCGGGCGCGAAGGTGACCCCTATGCAGTCGATTCCGAATCGTCTGGCCACTCACTCTCACACCAGTGTCTGTTTGAAGACGAGCGCTGATCTGATTTGCTGTGATGACACGATTTCTCAAGGCCAATGTACGGATAAATCGATCCTGGGCTTGAGTTGTCGCCCTTGGTCGACCTGAGCGTGGTCTGTCCTGTACAGATTGTGTATCACGGTATCTGGACCATAGCCTGCTTAT